TTAGGCTTTGGCCGTGGGTAAAAGCTAAAGTAGCCATGTTTAATAAATCACTTCTGTTAGCTTTATCAAGACATTAGCATAATTTCCTTTATTTTGCACTGAGTATTTAAAACTCATTTGAGTCACAGCCTCTCTGTATCATACCGGTCTAGGAAGACATTGGCTGTCAGCCCTGTATAGCCTCGCAACTGCCCTACGAGGCAGAGTGTGGCAGGGCCTCCTGAGGTCAGGAGAGAGGAACAGGGAGCAGAAAGGCAGGGAGGGAAGTATGAATGAGTCACATCAGTGTGTGTGTGCATGTGTGTGTGTTGCACACAACCAACAGCATGCGACTCAGTGCTGGGATTGGAATTATTTTAGTTATAAGAGGGTGAAAGAACATTCTCAGGCTGGGCATTTCCTAAGGGGATACTGGTAGTGGTCCACTTCTGCCTGGGATCCTTCCCAAGTCCAGCCAAGCTGACAGCTTTAGCTAGTCTTGGCTGTTCTTGCAGTCCCTGCATTCACTTCAATGAACTGCTGTAGAATTACCCAAACTGTAATTTCCTGATGTCCTTGATGGTCAGATAAGCTAACCAGGCACCCTATACCCCGATGTGAGCAATCTGGAGGAGAAATCTGAGGGAAAGAAAGGATACACAGTAGACAGGAAGCATAAAGAGAAGAGAAAGACACACACAAGCAGGAGGCAGACTGGGACTCCATTATCATCACCCAGAAAGCCTATCAGGGACTCAAAACTTGCTCCAAAGAAAGACATCACCATAGCAACTGTACTATTTCTATTTTTTCAGTTATTACAAGGCAATGTCTTATTTTTTGTCCTTAAAACTACTGTGGCAAGAAGAGACAAAGACAAATCATGGCCCACAGGTGACCCATCTCAGCTCCTCCCAGTAGTTCACCTTCCTTTTTCTCTATCATTTATAACCCAGTAAGACTCGATAATCTCGCACCATCTGAAGCTCATTTGTTTGAAAAGCCTTACAGAACTCTGCTGCCTAAAGAAAACAATCCAAACTCAAACCACATTCAAAGTTCTAAATAATCTTCTGCAAATCTATATTACTAATCTTACTATTTGGCAGGAGATAGTTTTTTCTTTCACACTGAGGTTACTTGATCACATGATAAAAGTGTGGTGCCTTGTACAGAACAAGTGACACAGACACACAATGGGCACAGCACAGGGACGTGGTAAAGTGAAGGACCCTAGAGTCTGAGTTGGTGATCTGTCCTAAATAGCCTGGAAGAAGACACAATAGTGATAAATACCTGAACTGTAAAAGAAGAAAATTGGCAAAATCAGGCCTTTCTATTTTAATCATGCCAGCATCAGATCAGGGTACATCCCAGGGGTTATGACTCATTGCCGTGATTTATAAAACAAGAAAATCAACAAGTGCTGGGACAGAGAAGCTCCACGGCTCTCAGCAGAATCACAAATACTTTGAGCAAAGTTCAGTAAGTAAGTAACACTTCAAAAGAAATAAAAGTCTTAATGTGTAAAAAAAGACTAGCAGAATTATGAATACCTAAAGAGCCGCCTCAATTTTTGCAAGACTTCTACAGAAGACACATAGAAAAACAGCTGAACATAATGGTAGTAGCTAATGATGGGAGCAGGCACTTACTAAACATTTTGGAGCTCTGAAATACTTCATTTGGCTACGGTAGCCAAGCTTGCCAATCACAGTTTTGCAGTCTTTCATGAAAACTGCATATTTAAAATATTAAATGTTGGTATTAAAAATCAGAACTGTTAAATAGCCTCAAAGTAACCACAGAGTTCAACTGAATGTCCCCGTCCTTCCTGGGTAGCAGGTGAAATCTCCAGGGCGTCACAGAATGACAGCATCTTTAGCAAACTAACTTCCTACTGTTCCTGATAAGCTAAGATCTGCCTTCCCTCAGCCCAGGGAAACAGTTCAGTCCTTGTTCTTTTCTGTGACATCACTGAAGACCGAAAGTGAGGTACTAGCAGGGGAAATAGAACCCTTCCCATGTATTTTATCATGCTCTATTTGAAACCCCTGGGACACTTTCATGTACTCAAATACCTATAATCATGCAAGAATGAGATAAAGACTAACCAAACCCAAGAAAACCAAACAATAACTAAATGAATAAAATAATGCAAATTTAGCAGCTCTCCAAAAAAGCATGAATGGGGGCTGGGGATTTAGCTCAGCAGCATAAGCGCCTGCCTTGCAAGCAGGCAGTCGTGAGTTCCATCCCTGGTACCAATAAAAAAAAAAAAAAGCATGAATAAATTTTTTGGTTGCTATGACAGCAGATCACAAAATGACTTATGTTTTATATAAATATCTCCTTTTAAAAAGCTCTTATTAGAAAATACATTTGTTACCACAGTGAAATAAAGTGACTTCCTTAATGCACACAGTATTTTAGGTGGACTATTGGTTTCAACGCTGAAAGCTGACATTTCACCCACACGTTTTGTAATATTCTCCCCACACCGCGAATGCCATCTCTGCATCTCTTTTTGGAAGTGTGAACCTCACTTTCCTATTTTATTTAGCTTAAAACCAAAAGAAAAAAGAAAAAAGGGAAGTTGGTTAGTCTACATGGGAAGAGGAGAAGTCACATTGAGCAAGAGACATCTGAAACAGCAAACTGCGGCTCAGCAACTCTCAGACTTGGGGTGCACAGTCAGTGCCATGTAAAGTGGGCACTCAGGAGCAATGATTTACAATCACTACAATCACCGAAGTGTATCACACTGTGTGAAATATTTCACAACAAAATATAGATTTCCTACACAAGAGAAGGAAATATTCATTAAGTTAAAAATAAGCACCAACATTTATGGTAAGCAGGAAGGAAAACTGGCTGTGATTCATATAACTATCATTTACTTACTGTTTGTTTACCTCAATTATTTTAAATAAATGTGGTTAGTATCATTTAATTATGGTAGACCACAATAAAGAACAAGGTTAATATGAAGATCTGTCAGACTTTTGATCATAGTAAGAGGTCAAGAATTTTGGCCTGACTCAATTAATACAAAAGGTGACAATTCCATTGGCTCAGAGATGTTTATTTTCACGAGGAGTCTTTTAAATGTTAAGTTATTTTGGAATTACATTCCAAACACTGCAATTTTATTTGCTCTTCTGAAATGAGGGGCTTTTCTGTTAAAAAGTTCCTTGTCAAGCCAAGTGTGGTGGTATATGCCTGTGAGCTCAGGACTCTGGGAGGCGGAGGCAGGATTGCTGGTTCAATCCCAGCCTGTGTAACTGGACAAGACCCATCTTAAAATGAAAAAGGCTTGGGGCTGGAGCTCAGTGCAAAGCGCCCAGGTCTAATCTCCAGTTTAAAAAAAAATGGTTAATCTGATTTCTTTTAAAAAGTCAAGACAAGCACCTTGCTAACTGTCAAAGATGTGTCCTAGAACTGACTATGATAGCAACATGCATATTTTGGATTCTAAAAAGACTACAAAGATATGAAAAATGCAAACTCAGTTCTTACTACTGAATGCCACAAAATAAAACTTTCTGTGGTGACAGCAACCATTTAATTTAAAGTCAGGATTCTGAAAACAGAGTAAGGAAACAAAATGCAACATTCTGAAACAACTGAATCGCATAATGAGTGGAATGGATATTGACAGTAAACGTTAATAGTAAACTAACAAAATGAAACAGGAAACAAAAAAGTAGATCGCAAAGTCTTGAATATTTTAGGAAAATATCCAAAAAAGGACTAAAATCCATCACCTTTAAGATCTGATGCACCATGCAAGAAACAGCGCCTCTTCATGGATCTCTCCTCAGCAAAGCAAGAGCCCCCCGACTGGCTGCCCTGCAGCTCTGTCACTGGAGTGGGGCTGACAGTTCAAGGGGTGATGAGCTCAGATTCTGGAAACCTGGCAGCTGTGCCCTGGCCAAGAGACTAATCTCAGGATGTCCTGAAGCCACCATGAGTTCTGGGAGCTAGTGTTCAGGTGCTCTGAAGGCCTCACCATGGAGCTCTGCTCCATAGTCCCAGGCAAATGAGAAAATACTCAGGAAGAAATGAAACGACTTTGATCCCCTGAACTGAGGCTGGACGCATAGCAACTGAAGGGAATGAATGGATGATTGAGTTTTGATGAAAAGAACACACACAGAAAAGTCATGAGAGAGATTAAAGGAAGAGAGATGAGCAGGCTTACAGAGTGCCACGATGGCCCAAAACAGTGGTCACTCACGCGGAATCAGTGATGCATATTGGGGACTTATTTCAAAGGTCTGCCATGGGACGTAGCTGTCTCCAAGTCTTTGCCCTTTGATAATACACATATTTCTATAAACTCATTTGGTAATTTTCTTAGCTGTTTCCAAGAATAACTAAACTATATTCCATACATACTATTAATTTACTTAAATGAATTTGGAAGTTCATATTCAATTTACGAAGCATAAAACTCAACTTCACGTTCTGGTAAAATATCTCCTAAAGGCAAATGCTTATTACTAAAATATAATAAAGCAGTGTGTGCATGGCAGAGAGCAGGAAACTCTAGCACTCGTCAGAAGGACTGAGTCCTTTGGTCCCTTCCCTCCCTTCTTCCTGCTCCCGAGACCAGATGAGACTTCAGTTCGTGCCCACCCAGCCCACTTTCCAGCCAGCCTCATTTTCTTCCCTCCCTTGAGAGCGTCTTTTCTCTTTACTCTTTGTGAACCCAGCTTCTTCATTCTCTGCCTTTTGTGTGTGTCTCATTATGAATTAGGCTACAAATGTAATTTAATAACTCTGACAAAAACTCAGCTACAATGTTCATCACAGTTATTTTGCAAATGAGACAAAGGAGGCCCCTTTTCTTGATTTTCCATGTGACTGGCCCTTTTTAATCACCCAAGGAGCAACTGAGTCAGACCTGACAAGCTCAGACAGCAGAGACAGGGAGGACCCACAGTAGAAGCATGACATTTTCCTAATGTTTTTCCAGGAGAAAGAGGGAACCGCAGGGTGGGGAAAATCACACTTACAAGTCCACTTATGGCTACAATCCAGATGTAGGAACCAGAGGTGAAAAGCTATAAAAGAAAAAAAAAAGGCAACTAAAAATGAAATTCAACTGCCAGTCACAGCGTATTTATTTTTATACAACTATAATTTGACCACTTATATTAAGTATTCATTACATGCAACATATAAGCAAATAGCAAATTAATCAACATCAATTGCTACCTAAAAAAAAGTAATACACAATTTTTTTGTCCACATCTTAGACTTTGTTTAATTGAAAACATATTGGTTAAAACTGGCCCACACATAGGAAAAGAAAAATAAGTAAAATTAAAGTACATTTTTATTTACAATGATTTAAGTAACATAAAATACTACTACAAATTAAGGAAATCATTAGATTAACATAAAAAACATGTATTCATCACCCCATCTAACCCCATAGAGCTAGATATATAAATTTCATTTTAATTTCTTTTTTTGTTTCATAAAACAGGGTCTCACTATGTAGTTTAGGCTGCTCTTGAATTCACTGTGGAACCCAACTGGCCTGGAACATGTGGCAACCCTCCTGCCTCAGCCTCCCAAGAGCTGAGATAGGTCTGCACTATAAATGTTAATTTCTTATTACTGCTTCTCTAAATTCTGACAGGAAGACTTTTTCCAAAATACAGGTCCATGCTGTATCTGTAGACGGCTTCATTCTGGTTCTCCCAGAAAGAGTAAACTACTAATAAAAGTTAATGGCAATGGCAACAGTAATTATATTACATGAAAGCTCTCCCTTTGTTTTTCAAATCAGTCCTATCAGGGTTGTGCTTGGGGTTAAAAAAAAAAAAAAAATTCCTAAGACAACCCAGTGTCCCTGTGTGGAAGAAATGCCTGTGCCTGGTATTCACAGTTGAGTGTGGACTTCCAGGGTATCATCGTGGAGAAAGCACGGGCTGCTCAAGTGGGCCACCAGGCTGGTTGCTGTTGGGGACACAACACTGGATGCAGCCTCAGACTTCTAAACACATCCCCAGGAAGGTGGAAAACAGACCGCCAGGAAGGCAGGGAGCAGGCACACAGGCGCAGCTCCTGGTGGGCTCTGCTGGGCGCTGGCTCAGCTGGCCAGCAGCTCTGGCTGCCGCTCCCCAGGTACCCCTGGCCCTGGTTCTGAGTGTGGGCCATGATAATAACAGAATGAGAAGCATCAGACAGATGTGCTGCTGTAGTTCTGAAAATAGGAATAATGAACCAGCTATCACCTTCTAAAGGCAGGTACTGCTTGTGAGCCTCTCACATACTGAGCTCAGCACTCACAGGGAAAGTTCTGTGAATTCTTGTTTACCACTCTGCTTTGCCTCACATACAAGGGGGGCCAATCTTTCTCTCAGCACAAGCAGATTTCCTTTGGACTTTGAGGCCCTCACACTACTGCATGGGTGGTGCCAACTGTGTCTGCTTGTGTTCTGACAGGGTGTGAGTGGTCATCACTGCTAGGACTCAAGGACAGGTGTCATATCTCACACATGCTCCAGAGCCCCCAGCATAGGGCACTACAGGACCAGCTCCCAAGCCATTTGATGTGCACAGGTTCTGTGACAAGCATTTTGGCTCTTCTGGTAAGGATTAAATTCATCCACCCAACCATCCATCCACCCAGCCACCCACCCACCCACCCATCCATCCAGCAAATGTCCCTCTCTTCCAGTAGCTGAGGCTGGAAGAGAGGAGGGAATGGGAACATGAGTGAAGCCCATAGAAAGGATGCAGTGAGAGGATAGAACTTCAGACACGCTTGCTTCCAGGCAGGGAAGGTTGGAAACAAATGTTGAGGAGACAAGAAGAAACCTGGACACCACTCAGGCCAAGGGTTAGGGTTGATCCAGAGGCCACTCCCACTTCTACCTTTGGATACTGACTTCTAACTCACAAAGCTACTGGAAGTGTTGGACAATTTTTGAAAATTCTATCATTTTGATAAATGCATCTGTAGTTTGTCTACATTCTGTCTTTGGCAGGGCTAGGAGGGTACTTTCACTGTGGGCCATGTAATACTGCAGAATGAAGTATTCTGTAAATGAAGTAAATGAAGCTCCCCTTTATCTAACCAGAGCCCCCTTTCTGTAAGAGATGAAATATGTTACTGATTTTGTTCCCCACCTACAAAACTCCCCTCAAAGTAATATATTTACAATCCTGGAAAAATTACTAGGGGCAGGTACAGAAATAACTGATTAGTAATGAGAACCAATGGACTTAGCTTTTCATATCTCTGCAGAGTACACTAAACATCCTATACTATGATTTTTAAACCTTAAAATAACCCTGTAACGTGGACATTACATCTCCACTGGTGAGGAAATAGAGGCTCAAAAAAGAGACAAGGCAAGTAAGAAACCAGGTCGTTAAGCCAAAGTCCATAGGGGCCCAAAGACTCCATGTGCCACACTGAATACCCATAATGGAGAAAACAATGCTTTCCATCCTTTTGATTTAAAGCTGAAAGGAATGGTATAGCACACCTGATGCTTAGAGGGGTTCAAGGACTTAGCCCAGCTCTCACAGCCAGTGAGGCCACCAAAGAACCAGCACTGGACCTAAGTCTCTGAGCCCGTAGGAGTCACACTGCACCTAGAAGGTTGGGCTTCTGGCATCAGGTCCAGGTGCTCCTCCACCATCCCAGAGGACCTGTCTCAAGAGCGTAGCAAAACAAAAGATGAAAAGCTTGCTACAGCAAATCCTAGCTAGAAGAATAAAGCACCAAATGAAATACTTGGTTATAGGAATACCGGGTTGGTTGGAGGGGAACAAAAAGCACATGTGTTGAAAGGTGAAGAATAAACCTATTTCATGAGAAACGGTTGTAAAAGTGGTAAGGAAACAGCCACCCCAGATGAGCCATTGATAAGGATGACAGCAACTTCTGAAATTAGAGGAAATGCTAAAGGGTAAAAGGGGAGGGAGGAGGGCATCTTCAAGGGACGCCGGCATCCGGCTCACTATGTGTGGGATCAGGAATGTGCTCAGCATTAGTCAGTGGATCAAAAGGCCAAGCTACACATGGTACCACAGAAACTGTGGAATACAGCTTTACCTTAGCAACTGTGGAGGAAAAATGACAAAAGATACAGAGAGAGGAACTGAAAAACGGGCGTGTATCTATCTAGCTCAGGGCCTGGAACTCATCAGGGAGCAATCAATACTCACCAAATGAGGGGGGAATAAACTTCTAAGTTCAGGTTTTAAAACAGGAAGGGAGGACTGGCCTAATGGTCTTCATGGCTGACCATTTAGCAATGGTAACATTACCATCATGTCTGCGCAAACACAGAAGCAATAAAGTTGACAGTGCTTCAGAAAAGCCCCAAAATTCAGAGTAATACAGCATTTCGGGTTTCTTCTTCCAGCTTTATTTGTGACGTTGTATTCAGTAAGTTAATTTTGACACTGTATTCACTAAGTTAATTTTTCACTTTTCATTGTCTTCATGTTTCTACTTCAGTCTACAATATTTAAAAGTCTTTACATGCAATCGTACAATTAAGTGAAAATATTTTCCACTGATATGAATTACAGTGAAAGTGCTTATCAGATTTCTAAAGGCTATGAAAGTATTCTAGTACCTTCTACACCTTGATGTTCTTGTTCTGTAACACTTCCTCTGAACATTTGATATAGATCATGAAGCCAAACTTATGGGAAAAAGCATTGTTTTCAAGGAGATCAAATAAGAAAAAAAGACCAAAACAGAAAAAAAAAAAAAAAAAAAAAAAAAAAGAGCAGCTTAAAGAAAAGTGAACATAAAATGCATACTGTACCTGTAGTCCCAATATATAAATCAATGTCTTGTTTGTGATGGACAACGGGCCCAGAATCTGTGCCACTTGGACTCTCGGTATGGAGCAGTAAAATGGTACAAACAGAGCAAACACAGGTGCCAAGCTATGCAAACAAATAGAGAAAAATCACTATCGCATAAGGTTGAATTCCGAACACCGACGGTACACGGACATGGCAGTAACACTGCTCATCATCTGTTCAGTCTGAAAGCACAAGTCTATGATACACAAGTTGTTTCCACACATGCATCCTTTGCAGTATAATCTGGAATTGCATGTAACTCTTTACAGAAAGTCTAATCAGCCTACCCTTTCACTCTCAAAACCACTGCACAGAAGTGGTTCAGCTTCTACTAACTAACTGTGAGGCACTGTGAGAAAATTTAAGATGTGTGCTATGTTTTCTTCCATGAACGATTTAAAATCTAATGAAGGGGAAGCAGACAAACCAAAAGCAACAAACATTAGGCTTGTTCAGGGTCGAAGCCAAAAAGCCTCACCTTGGTCACAGTGGTGGTCTCCTCACCTTCCCTTGCTCCAATACCTTCCTCCTATATTCTCACCCTATGTCCTCACTGTGTGTCCTGCTGGTTCCCAGGGACTTCTCCCCACACCCCAACTCTCCAGGGCTCCATGACAGCCTTTTCTCTTTGCTCTAGTTTCATCCTAAACAAGCTCAACACCTTCAATGGTTTCAACTAGGAAAACGGCGCCAGTCCTAACACTGCGGCCTGTCCCGCACCCTGCCTTGAACCTTAATTTGATATCATGAACTTGAAGTATTCACAAGTCACAAGTGTCCTGTGATGCTCCTCTCCAATCCACCTCCCAACACAGTTAACATTACTTTTCTCCAAACAGGAGGTCTTCCCTGCTAGGCTCCAGGCCCTGTGCCAGAAGACAGGCATCTGGTCCTATCACTCAACCGCTTACCACCACTTCTCTCACAGGCTTCAGGGTCCAAAATGGAGTTCAAAGACCACCATGAAATAGAGAAGACCTGCACCTCCCTTATCCCACTCCCACAGCCATCTTCCTCCCCATCTGCCTTATCACACACACATATACCACACAGTGTGCTCCTGCTCTCCTCCACCTCACAACTGGATGCGTGTACATGTGACCACACACACACACACACACACACACACACACACACACACACACACGGTAAGTGGAAGCCATAAAGCAGTATGGACCAGTATGGACAAGCAAGTGCGGAGAGGAAAAACCAGGCAGCTGACACTGCCTTCAGACTGGGAACATGGATCTGTGTGGGGCTCCGGGCTGCAGGCCCGGAGAAGTGGGGGCCCCCGGCAGTGGCCTGGGCACTGATGAGCAGTGGTCGTGTGTGCTGCCACTCTCCTCCAATGGGGGAACAGGGGAAAGCTGGCGGGGGGCAGAGTCCTGCTGCTCCCTCTGCGTCTGCCTTGGGCTAGGCACTGCTTCAGAACTCGTTACACTTGGGGAAATAAAGTAATTCTTATTCTTGCCCTGCATTTTAGTGAGCTATGTAGGGACTTCAAAAATCTCCCACTAGATTATTAATGCTGCGAGAAGGCACGGTAGTTTACAGAGCTTTGCATTCCCTGATGCCCAATGCCGATTCCTACTCATAATCCACACTCAGGGCCTGCTGGATTAAAAAAACTAAAGCACTTTCTCACAGAAGAACTGGTTTTGTGAATCTAAACTCAAACATAGTTGGTTAAAACACAATGCTTTCTTGAAAAGTACAAGTTAAGGCATTCTTGGGCTTAAAATGTTCCAATGACTCTTCACCTCGTAATGAAGGCCAATGTCACCACCAAGACTACAAGGTGCATGTTCTCCAGCCCCATACACCCTACTACTCAGAGCAGCCCTGGCTGACCAACACGCATTCACACACACACACACACACACACACACACACACACACACCAATAAAATGAAGGTTTGTGAACTCATGAAATTACTTGCACACACACTCACATACACACACACACACACACACACACACACACACACACACCCCACTCTGCACTCTATTGACCACCTTTCCCCAGGGCATCTGTGACTTTCCCATCTCCTGCGTGATTCATTTCCACATTATCTACTTCCACAGCCAGGATGCGAGCTCCACAGCAAGGGATTTTGGTCCACCCTGGTCACTGCCTTATCCTTACTGTCTAGAAATGAGCTTGGCACTAACCAGGTGCCCAGTAAACAGTTGCAGAACAATTTTCCTTTTAAACAATAGAAGCCTATAGCAGAATGTAACTTTTATTTAAACAAAATTCCCTTTTCTTGCTTTATTATTTTACATTGGATTAAAACAGATAATCTCATATACATACTTAAAATATGACTTGGTGATCACCTAGAAGTAACAGAACCATACTTTGATCAGCCAACTGCAGTGGGCTCTCCTCAAAGAACATGTCCCCTGAGGGACTCATTCATAGAAGGCCTTCTGTTTACATTCAGCAATAAGGGATAACTAGCGATGCTATACTGAAATAACCTGAAGCAGTGTTCTTGTTTGAGGTTATGTTTCAACATAAACCCCCCCAAAAAAAATACTGACAGGAATTTTAACAACCACAGTTTACATCTTATACATCAATAGGAGAAGTTTAAAAATCCCTTAAACGTTATTAACCAGTGTATATTTTTGAATGACTCAACACTAGACCACATATACGCATAATACAAAAGCACACATTTTAGACCAGAATTATACAGGTTGTTTTGTAGAAAATTTCTGTTGCTATTTCTATACACATATACTTCACAAAATACCAAAATGCAATTAGTCACTGACCAGTTTTTCTCTTTTCCTTATTTCACAGAAACATCTGTTCTTTATATGCCCACAACAATTCAGTTTGACCTTTTGTATACTGTAAATAGAAACTTCTGGAAGCCTTAAGCATATGAGGTTAAAAAGTACAAAAAAGAGAAAATAAGATTATAAAGCATTCCTTCATTTCTAACATCACTGTTAGATATTGAGTGCTTGCTATGTGCTCATATCTGCAGGCAACAAATAAATACTGGAGACTTTTGGTTAAGATCACACATGTCATCTTTGCTCTCATACGGAAAAAGACAGCAACTCCAGTTTTATAATACAGGCACAGTTGAAGAAACCCTGCTTTCAACAATAAAATGAAGGTTTGTGAACTCATGAAATTACTTCACAAAAACCTACAACGGTATCTGCAGAATGTTACCTCTTTTTTATACACTTGACTACTAAATTACCGAAACCTGGATGGATCAAGTTTGCTAGAACAACTATTTACACTAGCTGAGTCTCTCATATTTTACTTAGTAATACCAATTTCCAAAATTAAAAGCCACAAAATCCTACCCATGTGGCCTTTCAACAAATTGTAGAATTCCCCAACAGTGTGAATCTGCATTTTTGTTAGTGCTGCTGTTCTGTTTTGTTTTTGTGCTGCTGGCGACCAAAGCCAGGGCCTCACACATGCTAGAAGACAAGCGCTCTGCCACTGAGCAACACCACAGCCTCCACTCATGTTTCAAATGAACTCGTTCTAGAACGTTATGCCATGTTCCTCCACCCAATCATACAATCTCTGTACTTCCTGAGGGATTATCTTGGTGGCCACTCTGTTAGTCACTTTAGCGCTTATCTTATTCTTCAGTTTGAAAGATGTTCTTCCACAAATCTTTCACACTTTACAGCTCAGAACAACTCAATGGACATCACTGAGCGGCTAAAGCCACGAAAGCACTTTTACAGAAGCCAGGTGCAAAAAGGGCTTGGGAGTCACATAGCTTTGTCACACAGATTCCTACCAAATGATTCAATTCTCTAGCATCACTCAACATCACATCTGGTCTACCCAAGCATCAAAGTAAGAAACAGCATGTTCCATTAAAAAAGTAACGCCAGCTTTTGGGAATGACTACCATCTTCCAGTCTGAAGATGACCTCCCGTAACTTTCTCTTACTGGCTCTCCTTCTATACTCTGGAGCTGGGAATAGAGACAAAGACCATCCAAACCCTCTTCTGTGAGATAGTTCCCGAGAGCATGAGGATAGTGATCAAATTCCTGCAAGGTCCACCTGTCTCAGTTTATCCAACCATTTCCCTCAGACCTGCTGCTACCCAGAGCCCTCGCATCTGGCCACCAGCACTGACCTCGAATGGCCAGATCGGTCCCAAGGGAGGGTGAGTGGCACCTTTAGCTTGGAGCACAGTATTTCTAGTACTTAAGCTTACAAATACATCGCAATTGACAGCCTTGTGACACCGCTGGTTTAAACTGAGTCCCCCATACAAGGTGGGCAGAGTGAGGTAAGCAGTAGAGATCTCTCTCTCTCTCTTTGTCCTCCAAAGGTTGCACCTTACTTCTAAGGTGTCCCCTTCAACTGTCCTTGCCATTCCTGTCTCCCGGCAGCCAATGGGTGGGCCAGGTGGCCTCTCATGGGCCTACATACTGCCAGAATGTCACCTCCACTCACCACAGAAACCTGCTCTTTGTCATGAGCTAATGATAAGATGCACCCTGGGTAGACCATTCCTGATATCAAGTTTCCAAGTAGATACCATCATCAACGTTAACATCCTTTTCTTTAAAGCACTGAAAAAAAAAAAAAAAAACCCTATGCATTTACACTGAATATCAATGCAAAATCATCAGAAGCTATGATTCTTTTTTTCCTGAAAGCTTTATTGCTTTAAAGATTTTTTGATACTACTTAAATCCACGCAAAATTTTATAAAGTTCCATGCACACCAACGGTTCATAAATTCCAAGGGGTTTTTGAATAGTTTTTTTTAAAAATCAGTATCAGAAAAATTTCACTTCCCATTTAAAAAAAAAGTGCACACGCACATATGAGACTAACAGATCGCTACTATGCTCAGTCAGAGGGTGACAGGAAAAAGGCGACACCATAAAAGGACGTCTGCACAGTGGCTCTTAAAGCAACATGCCAAGCTCAACTGACTTCAGTCCGGGAAAATACTAACCGCTGCTCACAGAGGCTGGGACAAGTGCTGCTAGGTAAGTACTAGAATCTGTGCTTTGACAACAGCTTCAGGGAAAACTTTAAAAGTCTAATTCAAAAGGTAAAAGGATCAATTATAAACATTTCTAAGAAAAATTACAGTACCAATGCAATGTCGATTCTCAGCTTGCTGGAAGTTCTCACAAGCTATTATGAAGCAGGGTGAAAGCAATGAATGGGTGATGCTGAAATACTGCCAAAAGTAAGGCTCACTTTGTGTGCTTTGGTATGCACTCACAGTGACAAGAAACTGTCTTAAGTATAAATTAGCAAGTGCAGTCAATAAGCAGGATATTTTAATATGAAGGAAAGGAATAAGGTTATTTAAAATGAAGTGTTTTACATTTGAATGTATTTTGTAAGTGATATAAAGCACAGTTTAAACAAAAATCTTCCGTAGTTTGGTTTTTATCTATGAGATGATCAGTATGGGTGCCTCCATATTTTTTCTAAACTTCCTGCCTTAAAAAAAAAAAATCACCAAACCAAGAATTCTATGTTGTAATTTGGCAGTATCTAAGTCCGGGTTGAGAATGGTCATGACAGAGACTCTTGGTGAAACGACAGCCATGAAGGGACTTCCTCTAAAGATGGGTGTTAGTTTTTGTTACTGTTGTTTTGGTATGGTCTTCAGTTTTTTGGTATCACTCTTAATGCAACAGAATGTTGGCGAGCAGGGGCTCTGGAATTAGGCTCAGCCCTGGGCTCCATTATTTACCAGCTGTGTGTCTTCATGGAAGTTGCTTAATGTCTTTGATTCTGGTTGCTTCATTTGGAAAATGAAGAATATTTCTGTGAAGTCCTTCTAACAATGACTTTCGTAGTAAATATGAACATTCTGTCTAGAATTTTTCTGCCTCTGCCTATTAAACTACCAAAGGATGAATCCAACAGGCGAAGTTTCCTAGCCCTGCTATTTCTGTGAAAATTCTTTTCCTCAAATGTATCTAAAGTTCTTTATTTTATGAAATGTTTTACATAAGGACTCTGAGTCTACGTGTGCTTATAAATAGCTACCTGTGCTTTCTAGTATTTCAGAGCATGCCTTGTCTCTGGGGGTTAACTGTACTTTTGAGGACAGATGTGGCAGTTGATACTGTAATCCCAGCCCTCAGGAGGCTGAGGCAAAAGGATTGGTGTGAGTTCGAGGCCAGCCTGGGCTACATAGTGAGTTCAAGGCCAGTCTGAACAGCATAGTGGGACCCTGTCTCCAAATAAATAAAAATATAAATGAATAAGCATACTTTTGACCCTAATACTCCAACAGCCGCATGGCTCCACAAAGCAATCTCATTCACCACGACAGGTCCTAAATGCCAACTTGGGTCACTCTATGCACGTATATAACTGTAGGCGTTTGCGAGATATCTATTGCAGGCAGGTATGCGGGACAAAAATGTATGAGAGAAAGCCATCCTCAGGTCGCTCCCTTCTGAGAGAGAGTTTACCACCTAACATGAGTACTCCAGAGACCATCACTGCCGCCCTGGAGGCCCCTGCAGTTGGTAAGAGGTCCTGGCGGGCACAGGCGCAGGCACTGAGGCTGTGTGGAATACCCCAGTCTCTCAGCTTCCCAGGAAGTCTGCCCAGGAAGAGACAGGCCTGTGAAAAGCCTCTCCAAGCTATGGAGCTGTTGTAGTATTTTGCAAGTGTGAAGAGAAGAAAAAAAAAAAACGAAACAAACAAACAAAAAACCTTGCTAAATATCTGCAAATACCTAAAAAAAAAAAAATAGAATCACAGCATAAGAGCTTTTCAGGTATTTGCCATCTTCTTTTGATTGAAATTTTACTCTAAAATGTTCTGTTATTAAAATACTGCTAAAAAGAACAAATTCTAAAGTATCTTAAAAATCTTTTCCTACTTCAAAATATGCCACAGTCTGATGAAGTCCTTCACTTTAACCCACACATCTACCTCCCTCCCAGCCCTCCTCTCTCTTGTCCACACAGGAATGAGCAGGTATGTGTTAAAAGATCTGAGATGCCTTCTTATTTTTTTCTACCCATAGTATCAGATCACACTGGAAGACAGAAACCAGGGACAAAATGTAGTGTACTACATGTGATTTTTGGAGCCAAATGGCCTGAGTTTGAACCCTGACACTGAACAGCTGTGTCTTTGGTACTCTGTGCCTCAGTTTCACCCTCTGTAAACAGACTGGTGAAGTCTGAGGCTTCGGTGAGTGGCTACACGTGTGATAGCCAGGGCAGGGCACAGATACAGCCCTTATGAATGGTAAGGGTCACTACTCTCCCTCAAGGGCCTATTGTCATCAAATAGAGAATGGGAGAGCTGGGGTTCGGCTGTGTAGCCGGTAGTACTCGTGAGTGTCCACCATCAGCTGGCTGCAGATACGAGAAGTGGGCATCACACAGCCCCGCACAGGCTCACAAGAGAGTCTGAACCACACACGCCTGACACACAGTGCAGGGCCCCGCAAAGCCCCTCGCCTGCCTTTCTGGGGAAGCTTCCAGGTATACTGGTTTCCAAGTGGATGCAGAGAAGAGTGTGAGCAGGTCCAGACACATGAGGGACTGCGCAGCATCCACAGACTGCAAGGAGCATTAAAGCCTCAAAAGCCGGTGGGAGTGAACCATCAGTGAAAGGTGAAAGACAACAGCCAAAAATATAAAACCTCAAATGTGCAAGTGAGTGTTTAACCAAAGTCCCCACTGCCAGGCACCTTCCGCCTCCCCTGTTCTGATGGGCAGTTTAATGGGTCGAAGCTGGTCCTCACTGAGTGCTCACTGGTGCCGGACACAGTCAGAGGCATCGAGAGGAAACTGCAACTGCTGACCACGGTTTCGTCTGTCTTCATCAAGGGTCCTGCCTTGAGCTTTATGCTGCTGATGACCTGCAGACGCCCTGAAAGACGGTCTGATGCAGACTTCGCTAGGTTCTCAGGAGCATCACCAAGCTGATGATGTTTGGAAAGCTGCCCACTCTGGTCCCTTGGTTTGTCACCCTTCTACAAGCCAGAGAAAACAAGTTCCCCACAAGGCAGTGGACATCTCCTGAGACATACTGACTGTGCTCAGGGTGACTCTGAAGATGATCATTTGGAACCCAGGACTTTTTAGAAGAATATATGGAATGCTGAGATAACAATGAACAGCACCTGGAAAGGACACTCTAACTTTACCAACTGAGAGGCAAAAGGAGGCGGCAGTGGCTGCCTCAGGTTCCTCTCCCACAGTCAGGAAGTGAGGTCTTCCACCAGTCCGTGTCAACCACAGGCCAGGGGCACACACGGCAGCTCAGGGGATGTTTGCTTAGGCAACCAGCCAGAAAGTGAGGACAATCAGCAACCAAGTGCTGGGCCCTGTGCTTACCACACTGGGCCATGCACACTCCCACTCTCATTCCCTGTTTGAACAAGAACAGGAGGCTTTTGGAAATATTTGTCAAACACTTGCCAAATGAGGTGATCACAGAAGTAGTCATGCATGGATTCTTTCTCCCAGGAAGCTTGTTGTTCTCAAGGGATGTGACAAAGCCTCCCTCCTGTCCTAGTTGGGTCTATGCTGGTCTGTTAGACCACATCCTAGTTACTCCAATCAACTTTAGGCCAATTTTACTTCTCATCCCAGTAACTTTTCCTCAAGATTACTTTTTCTCAAGAAAATAGCCAAAAGACATCAAGAGGAATCAGACGCCAGGCGTGTGGTGTATGGCTGTAACTCCAGTACTCTGGGGGCTGAGGCAGGAGGATCACTATGAGTTTAAGGCCAGCGGCTCAGACAACATTCATTATTTAACAATGAAAGTATAATTAATATTTGTCCACATTTCAGGAACTCCCTAGCTGTTTTTGAAAGCATGTTTCCAGTATTTCTTCTCTGGTTCATGTCAGAAAGTAACCACTTTAGGCCAGGTCCCCTCTTGAGGGAGGTGGACTTTAAGTGACCAGACTTGACCTTGCAGGGAATCACTTCTGATCAGGTGATCAGTGACCATCTCACTCAATCGATTCGTTATGAAAATCTGAATTTAACAAAATTCTTAGTACTTTCAGGCCATTTTCTTTTCTTAAAAATTTTGGTACTGGGAATGGGACCATGAGCTTTTGCCCTTTTTTATTTGAGAGACAGTGTCACTAAGTCACCAAGATGCCCAGGATGGGCTTAAATTTGCAATCTTCCCGCTTTAGCTTCCCAGAGTGCTATGATTACAGGCATATGTCATCTTGCTTGGCTTAGCCCCCTGGCATTTAAGGTGTCAGTGATTATTAAAATAAATCTTAGAAGGTAGTAGTAATATTTTAGGAATATTTAAGCAAAAACTCAAAGCTTTTATCATAGCATGAAGTAAATATTTCAATATGGTGAAGGTTCTGTTCTGTTTCTATCATGAATGAAATCTAATAAAACACTTTAATTAAGCAAGTATATTAGGACAGTATAAGGCATATATATCCTTTGAAATATCACAAATACCTTCAAGTTGGTTCCCAGGGTGCAAATTTTCAGAGCACAAACCAACTTAAGTCAACTTTCTTAACTAGTACTAAATGAGTTTTTTTTTTTGGGGGGGGGGCTTTTATTTTTTTCCCTTTTGTGGCTAGAAAAAAAAACCCTAGTTCATGTCAACATGTCCGGTTATGCAAAAAAAGAGACACGATAGTATCTCAAGAAATGCTAACTTGATTAGCAATGAAGTAACTTCTATTGAAAATCATGCACAGGCCTGCCTCCAAAATTATAAGTGAAAAGAAGGTATTTTGCTGAGGATGGAATTGACTGTGTTACATGTCAGCATAACAGGAAAGTCAAAAGGATGAAATATTCCATTACAGAGACACAACAGCGGCCGTCTTCTTTGCTTATCAACAGAATAAGAGAATGGCCGAGGTGGCTTCCAGGTCATCCACTTGCAGGAGGAACAGGTGTTCTGGAGGCCAAGCAGGCCCTGATCTCCTCAGCCCACCTGCGTGAATGAGCCCCCACCTTCCCTGAAGCCTGGGTGCTGTGTCCTCAGGGAAGAGCCGCCATCCTGATTCTTAACCCTCAGTGTGTGGGGCTCCAGGGATAAGTCAGTGAGCAACATATCTTTCACAAA